ACTCCATTTCTGAGTCGCCTCTGGATCTGGAAAACTGATTGGACCTTGCTCTGAACAAAACAAGACCAAAGGGCTTTGATATGGGATATTTACTTCAAAAAGATTAACCTGCAATTAAAATGAAAACGATTAAACTTCTATGGCTGCACAGAAACCACTGCACTGATACAGTGAAGTGAGTGAGTGAGTGTGAGAGGGACAGCAGCAGCAGCAAGTGTCATCTGGTCTTCCAACTTGGGGAGGGCTTTGGAGTTTAAAATGGTGTGAATATGATAGCCATCGGTATAGCTTATGCAAGTGGAGATCTGTCTGCACCATTGAAAGTTGACAGTTCAGAGGCACTAATCTGACAAAAGGACGGCGTAAATCAACAACAGCACAAACATTTTGGGACATCAACAGATAAAACTGTTGGGACTTGGTGCGTGAAAAAAAAAAAAAAAAGATGGGGGGGGACTTTGCCTGAATCATTGGCGGCTGCATGACAAAGAGAGTTGGGAGGACGCAGAGGCAAAAGGGCAAGAGGAAGGCACCAAGGAGGTGAGTGACGGATTTACCCTCGGAGGGGTAAAAAAGATGACCGTGGTGTCCCAGGAGAACCACGACGAGACTGTGGTCGTAACTCCTTTGCTGCAAGATGCTGCGGACTTGGAACCAGCGGACCAGGAGTGCAGCGAGAGGGTGGTCATCAACATCTCAGGTCTGCGTTTCGAGACGCAGTTAAAGACCCTGTCCCGCTTCCCGACCACGCTTTTGGGAGATCCACGTAAAAGGATGCGTTTCTTTGACCCGCTGAGAAATGAATACTTCTTTGACAGGAACAGGCCGAGCTTTGACGCCGTCCTCTACTATTACCAGTCAGGAGGGCGGCTTCGGAGGCCCGTAAGTGTCCCTGTGGATATTTTCCTGGAAGAAATAAGGTTTTATGAACTTGAGGAAGAGGCCATAGAGCTTTTCCGAGACGATGAGGGCTTGGCGAGGGAAGAGGAGCGCCCGCTGCCTGATAACGAGTTTCAACGCCAGTTTTGGCTCCTGTTTGAGTATCCAGAAAGTTCGGGACCTGCACGGATAATTGCCATCGTGTCAGTTATGGTTATCTTAATATCCATTATTATATTCTGCATGGAGACTTTACCCGAGTTTAGAGAAGTACCCGTAGTCTACGACACTCACGCCAATGGAAGTGCTCAAGGCCAAGCGCCCAGTCCGTTCACAGATCCGTTTTTCATGGTGGAGACGCTTTGCATTGTGTGGTTCTCTTTTGAATTCACCATGAGATTTCTCTCCTGCCCCAGTAAACCAGCTTTCTTTAAAAACATCATGAACTTGATCGATGTCGTGGCTATAGCTCCTTACTTTATCACCTTAGGCCTTGATCTCGCAGAGCATCAGGGCAGCAGTCAGCAGGCTGCTTCTTTGGCCATACTGAGGGTTATCCGTCTGGTCCGTGTTTTCAGGATTTTTAAACTTTCCAGACACTCAAAGGGTCTCCAGATTCTCGGCCAAACGCTCCACGCGAGCCTCAGGGAGCTGGGACTGCTCATCTTCTTCCTGATTATCGGAGTTGTTTTATTCTCCAGTTCTGTTTATTTTGCAGAAGCAGAAGACCCTGATTCTGGATTTTCAAGTATACCTGATGCGTTTTGGTGGGCTGTGGTGACAATGACCACAGTTGGATATGGAGACATGTGTCCCTCCACCATCTGGGGGAAAGTAGTTGGATCTTTGTGTGCCATCGCCGGAGTGCTTACCATAGCTTTACCTGTCCCTGTTATTGTGTCAAATTTCAATTATTTCTACCACAGAGAGAACGAGGAGGAGGAAAATGTTCAGTACATACACGTGACTTGTGGACAGCAGCAGCTCCCCTTTGGTGAATGTGATTCAAACAAAAGTAACCAGTCGCTCTCCAAAACTGATTCCTACCAGGAAAGCGACGACTTGGAAATTTTGACACATCCAAACTTAAGCCCAGTGGAGGCATACACAGGAAAACTGACAGATGTATAAAACGCACCGTTGGAAGAGGGGTTTTATTTCTGGTGAGTTGTCTTCCAGTGGACGAACAATGTAGGCTCCTTCATGCCGGATGCTGCTGTTGTTTTTACGCAAGCTGTTCACAGTGGTTCCCAAACGAGCAGCCACAGATATTAATGCTACAGTCCCCACCAAAATGACGATTAGCTTAATCTCACTGTAATTAAAGAGAAAATCATTCCTCCTATTGCTGCAACCTCCTTTTTGCTCTCTGCTACATGAAGTAAACAAAAATAAATGGGGGAACTATGCACTAAAGCGTCATACTTGGGAGCCCTCACACACGAAAACATTTGGGGACACGGAATATCTGAAATACCATCAGCAGTAATTGAGCCATACGACAACTAACTTCTCAACATATTAAGGTAAAAGGCAAAAGAAAACTAATAAAACTAAATTTGGAGATATTTTCTAGTCTCTCAAGCCCTCAAGTGGCGTTTACGCACAAGGAAACACAACCAAACGAACCAAACGTTGCCATTCTACTGCTGAGAAAATCACATAGCCTATTCTCAGTGTACCCGAGCTCTGAACAAAGTTGAGGAGGAGAGCTCAGCAGTGCGTCAAAGCGCCAATGACGCACAGCAGTAGTACAGTACAGTTTGTAGAGGCATTATGTGTGACTGCCGTATTTAGCGCACAGTGAAACACTATTTTAAAATACTTTCCAAACGGGTTTGAGACAGATAAAGCGCGTAAACTTCTTCGCTGATCCCGTTTCTAATAACTTGTTTGCCTGTGTGTGGAACTGGACGGCTCTATCTCTCAGGGAGAGAGTTTACATGTTTGTCATCGTAAGGTGATAAGCTTTCCGCAATTAAACTATAAATATCTCATATTAACAGTGTAGTTTTCTCTCATGATTATGAGATTATTATTATTTCCTAAACAAATCTCACGATACTGAAAATACGTAGTGAGAAAACATCTCCGACTTTATGTTTCTTTGGAGCCTTCTTCCATATGAATCTGATCAGAAAATGCAGAACATGTGAGCTCTGAGCGCCACTCTGTGGATGATAAGTATTCCTGCAGACTCCCCTGCTCAGGCTCTACTGTGTGCAAATTGAATACTTGAGCTTGAGTATATTTTGCACTGTTGGCCTCTCCCCGGAGATCATGCTCTTTGACTCAGTACGCATCCGGATGCTTGTGATGGTTAACTAAGCTAACCAGGAGCCTGCTTGCTTTCACTTACCTCCTCATGTTAACACAGTGAGTTTTGTTTTCTGCTTACTTGCAGGAGGCAGACGATTAAATGAAGCTTGTTTCTCCCTCAGAGTCGCAACAAAACACAAGAGTGGGATTCTCTTCTTCTCCAGAATATTGGATAATTTCCTCACAGTGCAATGGAAGTGTTTGGGAAATGTTCAGTCTGCCTTAATGGACATTGTGTGTATCATCAGTAGAAAACAACAACATTCTTTTGTGTAGCCTTTATAAGTGACCACGCTTTCTTTGTATAAAAGCCTTTGTGTATACTGCGTTTTTGTAATTCTGAATTTTCCTTTTTCTTATGCAGTTTATAATGCAAAGTTGGAGTCGCAACTTACCTCTGTCTTGTTACAAACATTCAGATTGCTTTGCAGCTCGCTGTAAACAACATAGCCCAGATCATTACGATGCAATGTCTGCATGACATGAATTCATTGTGAATTTAAAATGTAATAAAATATTTATTTTTCTAATTTAAACATGTATGTGAACTTAACTTAATCATTTTATAAATAAATTATGAATCCGAAACAATACCACACGTCATTTTTCACTCTCAATGTAAAAGCGATCAGGCTCACAGAGAGCAAACTAACAGCAAGCCATTTGTGTAAAAATATCAAATCAATGTCTTTTAATTACTTCAATACACTTAATCACGTTTGGTGCTGAATGATGGGAAGAAAAAAGGCGCAGGACCAGACCTTGGGTTGTCTTGCCACCAAACCAATTAAGTTAATAAAATGTCAAAGTGACAAATGTAGGGGGATTTATTTGGCTGGAGGCAAATTTTAACAAATGAGACAGGGGTCTGATGACCTGATTTTGTGTTGAATGTGTCTTTTTAGAGAGTCAGAAGACAGTTGTTTTGAGTCACTTCAGCTCAGCCCCTCACTGTGGGTGTAGGCCCCGAAAAAGCCCATCCGCCCAAACACTGGCCCCTCAGAGTCAGCACTGGACCAATATAGGTTATTAATTGATTATTCGTTATGATGCCATATGGTAATGAACTGAGTGTGCTCTGCTGTTTGTTTTTGGGGGATTTGCAGTTTTCCATGAGGTGAATAAATCATCTGCGCTGTCCGAGGTGCTGAAACTGTCCTCTCAGGCGTGTTGATGCCAAAATTTCACCGTCTTCGTCTCAGATCTGCTCCTCTTCTGGAACCATATGCTGCAATGAGTGGAGAAAGAGACGATTCACTAACGTAGTGTCATAAAGTGGCAGATATTGGGCGTGAGACTTGCACACATCCTGGATGCAAGCTCCCCAAGATGTGGTGGTGTGTTTTTTTAGCTATAAGGGCAGCGGACACATTGTTAACGATGTTATCTTTCTTTATTGCTGACTAGTAAAATGATGAAAATGACTAAATTAAATGTGGTCTCACATAGACTCGGATGTGCAGCCAAATAACGCCCGTGTAATCCTTAAATCCTGGAGGGATAGAATGAAAATGTCTCAGCAATTGATAATAAGGCTAGTTATCTGAGTTATAGGTGATCTCAAATGTTACACAGTGTGGATTTAGAGGTTTTTGTTACCAACTGTTCTTTGCAGTCTGATTGCGCCAGTGCTGGCACACAAGCGCTCTTGTTTTTGTGGTGTATAGAGAACTTCTGGCGGCGTGCTTTAGTAGAGCCGGTCTGCATTGCGTCGAAACCCTCCAACTCCTCCTCCTCCTTCTCCCGCTGCCCTCCCCCCCCTCTTCTCTCCTCTCCTCTCCCCTCCTCTCTCTTCCCTCACCTCCCCTGCACTTGCATGTAAAAAATGCACAGTAAAACTTGCTTGACATTGTGGAGAAAACATTTGGACCTCGCCGCTGCACCTGACTGTCTCTCAACTATCCATTTTGATTTTTTTTTTTTTTGATCCGAGCCGCGCTGAAGCACATTTCAGCCCGTCATCTTGTCTACTCGCAAAAAAAAAAAAAAAAAAAAAGGCAGCAGATTCTTGCTGATGCAGTGATGTCTGGAAATGGCAAGGGCTCGCTTATTGCCCCTTACAGTACTTCCCCCCTGAATTGCAGCGCAAGATTTTCTCCTGCGGTACACTGTAAGCTGTTCACACCACCGTGCCGCCGCGCAAGCAACTACCGACGCTACAGCTTTTCCATCTCAGGCTTTCTTCTGTAGACTCACCTGATTTTCACCCTGTTTCATCTCATCTTGGTTCACCACCTAAAGGCGTGATTAGACCTTATTTGAGTGCACTTTTGAGGCGGACACAGTTGGGATAGCGATGAGCACAGCAAGGCTCTAGGCTTTTTTTTTTGTGATAGGTGCAATGTAAAGTTGCCACATGACACCCACTGATGCCCCGCCGTTGGATGATTTTACTCGAGGATAAGACGCATTCAAGTCCTTTCAAGATCAACCCACGGTAAGCCTCGAAACTGCTGACTTGTACAGATTTCGGTTAGATTAATTGTTTTTTATCGACAGCTGCTGTTCATGGGAAGATGCTAGACAAATACTAGAGTGTTTTTCTATTTCGCAGAGGCATCTTTTTCCCCGCAATGGGCCCGTAGGTTGTATGCATGTACAAACATCAGTTGGTATACTATCCGTATCAAATGTTATGCGTCACATCATAATTCAGGCTGGTTAGATGGATCACTGCCATGCACCTTTAAAAAACAGGAACCACTGCATTTCTATGTTAAACTAAAGTAAACATCTGGACAGAAATATAATATGAGTGTAACAGAGGAACGGGATAAATAAATCACCTTGAATCACCTATAGGAATTTTAATGTAGGATGTAGAAATGAACATGTAGTTCGAGAAGATCATTATATACTCACTAAGGCTCACTAAGTTTGTAAATGGCTATATTGTAGAAATGTCATTGAAATTCCTTCTTGGGGTAGTGTTTTTTACCTTTACTTCTGGATAGCAGCACTAATTGCAGGCGGAGAGTAGAAAATAAATAAATAAACTGCAGAAAATGCTGAGCCAGCAAATATCTTGGCTGTTTGATCCCATTATTTTCTCCTCCCCTCTCCCTCTCTCGCTCTCTTTCACTGTCTCTCTCTCTCTCTCTCTCTCTCTCTCTGGGTGACAGAGGCAGCAGTAACAACAGCAGCAGATGCACCGGAGAACAGCAATGGTCAAGTCAGCGAGAACCGCAGTGGAGCCGCACTGAGGCAAAGCAGCCAACCAGCCCCCTCGTATCTGGGGACGTCTCCAACAATTTAAGGGGTGTGGGAAGCTGAGGAGTGGAAAATTTTCCCCGAACCTGAATGCCTGCTCAGTCAGACTAACCAACATCCCAACACAACTCCTCCTCCACCTCCTCCTCCTCCACCCAAAATGACCGTGGTAGCAGGAGATAACATGGACGAGACCTCGGCTGTACCTGGCCACCCTCAGGACACCTACCCCCCAGACCACAATGACCACGAATGCTGTGAGAGGGTGGTCATCAATATAGCTGGCCTCCGGTTTGAGACACAGTTGAAAACCCTCTCCCAGTTTCCAGAAACGTTGCTGGGCAACCCCAAAAAGCGGATGCGGTACTTTGACCCTCTGAGAAATGAGTACTTTTTCGATAGAAACCGGCCCAGCTTTGATGCCATCCTCTATTACTACCAGTCTGGGGGTCGGCTGAGAAGACCAGTGAATGTCCCTTTGGATATGTTCTCAGAAGAGATCAAATTTTACGAGCTGGGAGTGGACGCGATGGAGAAGTTTCGTGAGGATGAGGGTTTCATCAGGGAGGAAGAGCGCCCTTTACCTGAGAAGGAGTTCCAGCGTCAGATTTGGCTCCTCTTTGAGCACCCAGAAAGCTCAGGCACTGCGAGAGGCATTGCCATAGTGTCTGTGATGGTAATCCTGATTTCAATAGTCATATTTTGTTTAGAGACTTTACCACAGCTGAAAGAGGACCCAATGGGTCGAATGGTGACAGTTGGGAACACTACTGTCTATTACAAGCCAAATATCCTCACTGACCCCTTCTTCCTCATTGAGACACTCTGTATAATCTGGTTCTCCTTTGAGTTGATAGTACGCTTTCTGGCGTGCCCAAGCAAACCGGCCTTCTTCAAGAACATGATGAACATGATCGACATAGTGGCTATCATCCCCTACTTTATTACACTAGGCACCGAGCTGGCTGAAGACCCAGAAAAGGAGGGAGTGGGGGAGCAGGCAACATCTCTGGCCATACTCAGGGTGATCCGTCTGGTCAGGGTGTTTCGGATTTTCAAGCTGTCACGACACTCCAAAGGACTGCAGATTTTGGGGCAGACACTCAAGGCCAGCATGCGAGAGCTCGGATTGCTGATCTTCTTTCTGTTCATTGGAGTCATCTTGTTCTCCAGCGCTGTCTACTTTGCTGAGGCAGAGGAGCAAGGATCCTACTTTGGCAGCATCCCGGATGCATTTTGGTGGGCTGTTGTGTCTATGACAACTGTGGGCTATGGGGACATGGTCCCGGTCACTATAGGAGGCAAGATTGTAGGATCTCTGTGTGCCATCGCCGGAGTGTTGACAATTGCGCTCCCAGTGCCTGTCATTGTGTCCAACTTTAACTACTTCTACCACAGGGAGACCGAGGGAGAAGAGCAGGCCCAGCTGCTCAACGTCAGCAATCCCAACATCCCTTCTGAAACCAACTCCAGCCGCCGTAGTTCATCCACCGTTAGCAAGTCAGAGTACATGGAGATTGATGGAGACATAAACAATAGCATCGACAACTTTAGGGAGGCGAACCTCAGAACTGGCAATTGCACTATAGCCAACCAAAACTGTGTAAATAAAAGCAAGCTGCTTACAGATGTTTAGACACTAGTTAGGAACTTTGGGACCTCTATGAGACTGTCATATGTGGAGTAGACCATCAGTAAGGAATGCTTCATTTACCTCCCCAAAGCACTCTCTGGCATTAGGCCTACAATATCCTCAGCTATATAGAAAGGAAACAGAAAAAACAAAGCTCTTAGAGTATATGAGAGGTAGATAGAATAATTAATTCTTCTGAGCCTACAAATATGTAGGTACATCAAAAAGAAAACAAATGATGACGCATATTCACGGCTCCCTGGAGGACGCAGAGCACACACTGTCTTATCAGATGACGGTGTGATAATTTAAATCTTATGCATGGAGTACAGATAACATTTCAGCAAGTTGCACAATGCACCAGAAAAGTCTGCAGAGACATGCAAGCATCTGCAGCCAAGTCGTAAGCGCCAAGAAGTTAGGTGACCCCCGCTCCTCCCTCTCCCTCCCCCCTCCTCTCTCCCTACAAAGGATCTACTATTCAGCAAAGCACCTTATAGGAGGAAGACTGATCTCTCTTGTTTGGATGTAAACAGATGGTGATCTACACGCTTCATGGACATCCGCAATGCTGCTGTTTTCCAGCAGATGCTGTAATTCTGATATCACCAAGTGATTCAATGCCATGCCCTTTAGATGCAACACAGCACAATGATAAAGTGAGCTTCACACGAGCATGATTAGAGACTTTCCATTTTGATATCGGCATGCATGAGACATATCTCACATAATGGAAAGGATGTTCTTTTGGATACCTGCCTCCATCCACCCCGTCTCATCTGTTTTCATACTGAGTGCACTGGATGAGTTTTTAATTTGAAATGCTAATAATTTAGAAGTATAGAAATTGAATGTTAAATCTTACGGGAACAGTACATAAATGAGATCATAGCATGAAAAAAGTAACCTGCATTATGGTCTATCGACTAAGGTACTTTTGTATCCTGGTATATTTAATGCATGACATGACTATACAGCTTGTTGCAATTCAGGCACTCTGCAGTGCCCTATTGTCAGGGAAACTAAAGGAAATCAAATTCTGGATGTTTCTGAATTGTGATCAAATATATCCAAACCCACCTTGAGGATGCAGAGTTTCTAATTTAAAAGTAGTCAAAGAAACTGAATAAATATTATCAGAAATGCATATAAGCATAGTAAGCACCAATTACAATATTACATCAATAGTGCAGTGCATGGACCTTCTTTGAACAAGAGATGTTAACATATCATAAGTCATGCTTCCATTTCCACATCAAATTTGAGTTCATATTGGTTTGGAATCCACAAAAAAAAAGGTTCAATACCAAATTTCACTTCATATTACAGACAGTTATTCTGACATTAGTTGCTAGTGCCTTTATCCCTTTCACCAACAGGACCAGTGAAAGTGCCTCTGTGTACAATGTGATTTGTGAGGTTGAGAAGAGCTGGTTTACCTTCTGTTCTCGTGTTGATACACTGTTGGTTATGAAGTTAATGATGCCAGATGAGCAAGGTTGAAACAGCAGGTGATTGTGGTCAAAAAAAAGAAGAAGAGATAATCCATGGCTGTTATGCACAACTCAGTTTTCATTCTGTCACGCACCTAATTATGCCCTTAAGCAGCAATGTATTGTACTCTGCATGTTTACCAATCCAATTCAAAAGGGAATATCCATAGGTTTTAAACATGTTTTATTTATATTTGTTGTTTACGTTCGTGCACCATGCATCCTTTCAGGGTCTCTACCTCAGTGAGGTCATTGCAAACTTGCTGCAGAGCTGCAAGCTTCAATGCAGGGCTTCCTATATACCATAATGCAAAATGGAACCTTAAGTGTAAACTGCAGTCATGCAACATTGAATGTGAGAGTCCCAAAGCATAGCCTTTACACAAGCACTTAGGGCAAATAGTGTACCACAATCCCGCTCCTTTTTTTCACTTAAAGCTACGCACAATCAGAACCTTCATTTGTAGAGAGTTTGTAGAGATTGATTGACTCTCCTAATGGGATGAGATTTTATATGTTAGTTTCTTTGAAACAATGGTATCTTAAGTTACTGTTGTGTCACAGAAACACACTTGAATGTGTTTCAACACACGTGTATAATATGGTGGACGACGTTTGTTATAGTTTTTAAATCTGCCATCCTGCAATCTGTGGGCATTATGACGCACAGCATAGTGCAGCCCATCTTTTTGCACAAACATTTTGTTTTGTTGCTTAAACCTCTTTATTTTCTTTTTTTCTTTTTTGCTTGTGAGAATGTTCTTTCTTTTTCACTGTGCTTGCTCCCGAGTAGTGCATTGTTTCTCAGCATACTATTCCAGACAGGCTAACTGCAGATAGATTTGGATAAATTATAATGATTACTTGAAAATCTCCAGCTACTGTACATCAATCTACACTAGTACTGAGTATAAGTCACCCAAATGATAGTAAGATTTTGTACTGTACTGTACACGCTTTTTTAAAATTTTGTTTGGCACTGTCCTGACAAGGTCCTGTAAAAAAAAATCCACTGCAGTGCTACTTGAATGTCATAGTTGTTTCTGTTGGTGCAATGGCTATTCTTTGTGGTGCTAGTACAGGACTACCATTGTTGTCTTGTTACCATCACACGTTATCTGAAGCATCAGCTGAAGCAAGCCTTCGTTAATTGTTTTGGATAAGACCTTTTCCATTCTTTGATTCTTGTTCTTGTTTTGTTATTGGTGGCTGGTTGGTTAGTTCAGGGCACTGTTTGTCATTTTATTTGGAACTGATCTTTGTACTGTACTGCTGAAGAGCGTCCGCCTCAGGCGAGGTAAAAATTCAAGAGCCTTGCTAGATGTCAGCAATTTATCATGAGAGCAAAAAAGATACACATTTGTGTCAGGGATCTTTAGTTTGTATAGGATTTCGCATACAAAAGGCACCAATAATACCCAATACCATACATTATATTACTATATATAGAATGATATAAGAAAATTATAGTAGTCTCATAAATGCAGCTATCAGGAAATTGTTCGCTTCGTTCCCAAGTTTCTCGTACGATTGATGCTTGAAAGTAGCGATGTGTTTAACATGTCCTACAGGAAACAGCTGAGAGTGAGGTGAAGAAAATATAAACGATACCCCTCACATTAGCAGTGCTGTTGCTACTCTTGCTGTGAGGTCATGTATGGATGGTGCTATGCATTCAATTACCCAACAGAAACATGTATTCTTAACAGCAATAGAATAACAGATTGCCTGTTTCTTAGATGCTTTTTGTAAAAAATAGTAAAACAAATCTATTTTGAATGTCAGAGAAGCTGCGATCACTTGACAGATAACTCACAACAGGGCTGTTTATGTACCAACCTCTTACCCTCTGTTCTGTGACTTTGTAAGGTCAGTGGGGTCAAACGTAGAGGCTGACATTTTATTGAAAGAAACCCGTGAAAAATCCAAATATAGGCTTTGTAATAGTGGCAGTCCCCATTTACCACCCAGATCTGACTGAAGTTGTTTTGCAGTCAGGAACAAAGGCTGGTTCAGTCGAACCTATAACACAGTCCCAAAGGGACAGCCCATAATGCACTTAGAGAGGATCTATCATCAGTTCACTGGACTGATCAGCTGTGTGAGAGAACGTCAGAGAAGGTGCCTAAAATGTTTTACATATTCATTTGTCTAGCTTACTGTTAGATGTTATGCTTCTGCAAACAAACACGAGTGAAAAGATCTTAAAAAAACGATGACATTAACCTAATTAAACTATAAGATGAAATGTCATGAGAACAAAATGCAATTTAGCTACAATAAGATAGAGAAAATTAACCACTATATACTGCAATTACTTATGAAAAACAATTTTAATGTGTGTTTTTTATTTTCCTTTTTTTGTTGTTGATGGCACTGTACCATGACTGATTTAGGAAGAACATGCCATATACTGGAATATCAAAGACAATATGTTCGTCTGGCAAGCCATGATAATGAAACTACTGTATTATGATCAATTGCTATACACTAAATGATATGGACAAGAAGTGTACTATTATTAAAAAAAAAACCATATGGTTTGTCTTTTTGGTTTCAAGAAAAAAAAACAAAAAAACAGGATTCATTCAAACACCATGTTCACATTTTTCTCCACTGCTGAACCTACTGCTATAATGTATCTCTACAGAAACCTAGTAATCGCAAAAAACTGCATGGTCGATGGAAGACTGCATGAGTTTTGCCTTTCAAACTGTGGATCAACTATAATACAGTTGCATCATTTAAAAAAAGAAACCCTTGCTTTCATCTGCACCAAGGCTTCCTGTAAGGCCCTGTTCAGAAGTTGTCTTGAGACATGTCCTCTGCTGGAGCTCTAAAAAAAAAAAAAAGCACCTTAGCGCTGACCTCATCACTAAGACGGCATTGGGTGTTCGAGCCGTTCTCAGCGTCTGTGTGATTTTCAGGTTGTGCTTGCTAGGCTCTGAATGTGAGCAAGGACATTAAGGGCTAGTTTCTCAAACTTTATCCCTATTCTAGGACTGAAACGCTCTTTCAAGTGACATTTTGCCCATTCTTATCTCAGTCTAGACTGTAGTGATACTGTGTTGTGGGAAACATGCCCATCATGTCTAAGCAGGGCCTGTGCCGCACACCCTCCTCTGTACTACATTGGTTTTAAGGCATTCTTGTTTGCGAAAAGTTCTTGATATCGGACTGCTTTCTGCCTGCTGAGGAGGCACTGAACAGGATCAAATGTTGGGATGTTGTGTACCTCACTCGCCAAAGGTGATCATTGATGAGAAGATCTTGTCTGTGTTAGAAGTGTGATGGCTATGAATTTGTCTTTTCTGTCAAGAACGCACATTTAATTTCTTGTAGGGAAGTTTTGGAGCAAAGTGCAAAAGGACTGTTGAACTCTTCTGCTCTTCTTTTCATCCACAAGCAAACCAAACTCTGATTGTGTTTCTAATCTAGCCGTCATTGTCACGTTGTGTTTACCAAGGATTCTGCTACAATGTGTTCAGTTTGTCAGATGTGATCTATGCAAGGGTTATTTGTTTTTATTCTTATATCACTTATGATTTCACCTTACATTAACTTCAATAAATTTTTAAGGATCTGATGGTGTATGCTCATTTCAGCTTGGGATGGGGGTGTATATCTGCACTGTGGACTGCACAAAAAGCTACATAAATAAAACCATCTTGTACACTAAGTTGTCACAGCCCTTTCTGCATTGCGCTAACAGCAGAAATATGCTGCAGTGTGTGTTGTTACGGAGCTTGAGGTCTCAATCTAAATGTGTCCTACCTCTGTACTACAGTACCCTCTCACTGAAGCCATTAGCGGTGATTCACAGGGCTAAGGTAATGGTTCCACACTAATCCTCCTGTCCCAGGAGAGGCCCGCTTACCTCTGTCGTTCCCTGTGAGTTGTTACACACCCCAGGGGCCTGAAGAGCTCTCCTCCTCTCTCTGTGCTTCCTCCTGTATTCACACGGACACATGCACATCCTCAAAACCAAGTGTGACTCTGAGGTGTTTGTGAACATGTTGGGTGTTAAATTTTGAAGTTACTGTGGCTGCAACTAATAATTATTTTCATTCATGATCTAAGTGTCAAAAAACAGTGAAAAATGCCCATCACAATTTCTTAAAACCTAAGGTGACAGTGTAAAACCTAAATATATTCAGTGTACTTTCACATAAGACAAAGAAAAGCTGAAAATCCTCACATTCGAGATGCTGGTAGAAGGGAATGTTGTAAAGTGTAGTTGCTGATTAATGTTCTGTTGCTCAACTCATCGATTAATTGACTAATCATTTGTAGATCATGTGTCTTTAGAGGAGATTTTGGATAATGAGTTAAGTTTAGATTAGGCATCCAGAGAGAATATAACAATTTAAAGCATACTCTAAAACATCTTGTTTCTAAGAGTGTGATTTTGACAACATGTCAGATAAAACCTCATCATAAAAAAGGTCTTGTTATATTAATTATGTGCAGCTGTTGAGGGCAGCAACCCTAAAAAACGCCGAACAAACAAATCCATCCAATCATAGAACAGTCAAAGGGCAATCAAGCCATGGAACTGATATGCGTGGGCGCAGCTTTTGGGGTGTGATAATGATTCATTCCCACTTCTGTCCTCTGACGGCGTGAAGCTGAATATTTGTGGAGAACATTGGACAGCAGAGGCATCACGCTGAATGCTGCAGCTCATGTGTCTCTCTATCTGTCCATCTGTCTCTCTCTCTCGGTGTCTCTGTCCCTCTCAGTTTCTCTGTCTGCCGCAGGCTCTCTGTGTCTGCAGCCCCGCTCTATGTTTGCTGTATGGTGACCTTAACAGAAGTGAGCCTCTTCTTCCTTGTCCTCTGCATTGCCCTCAGGAAATGCAGCACTCCTCACTCTGCAGGCAGCAGCAGTAAGGGTGGGGTGAGCTGGCGCCTGTCCCACTCTTCTTGCACACACATACTCTCTCTCTCTCTCTCTCTCAGTCTTTGTCTCTCTCCCTCTATCCCTCTGCTGAGTGCTGTGAAGCTCCACTGGACTGTAATAGCACAGAGCATCATGCAGAAGAGGAGCACAGTCATAACAGAGGATATCACACCTGCTTTTGTTAGTTCTCTCTCTCCGTTGTTGGTACCTATCTTCCATGTTCATACGTGCACACACATAGGCATTCAAAGATCCAACCATGACTGTCAGATAACAGTCTACGAGCTCATGTTTACCTTTTCCGTGTCCTCTGTGACCATTTGTAGTGAGCGTGTATTTCTTAAAGCTGCACTAATCAATATTTTATTACCAATGGAATAAATGACTATGTGTAATGTGAAAGACGTTGCTTGCAGTAAAGAACCTACAGAGACTTATCACCTGACTCTGCAGTTTCCCTCAGCTCTAAGAAGTATTTTAATTCATTGTTGAGGTTTAACCTTTACCGTTTTAGTTCAGTCTCGCTGCTCTCATCAACGTCATGTCCAGCAGGCAGCTGGCTCTGATATTAAGCCTACTGTATGCTACATGCCCAACACCAAACAACAGACATGTTTAGAGACTAGTTGGTGAACATAGGGGAGCATTTAGCAGCTAAATTCGATCATTATAAGCACCTGGGCTTCCCTGGTGGTCATAGTGTTGTGCAGCCCCAACCTAACAAACTGTGATGCACTGTGTATTCTGACACCTTTCTATCAGAACCAGCATTAACTTTTTCAGCAGTTTGAGCTACAGTAGCTCGTCTGTTGGATCGGACCACACGGGCCAGCCTTCACTCCCCACGTACATCAATGACTCTGTCTCCGGTTCACCATTTTTCCTTCCTTGGACCACTTTTGATAGGTACTGACCTCTGCAGACCGGGAACACCCCACAAGAGCTGCAGCTTAGGAGATGCTCTGATCCAGTCGTCTAGCCATCACAATTTGGTCCTTGTCAAAGTCGCTCAAATCCTCATTCTGCCTATTTTTCCAGCTTCTAACACATCAACTTGAGGACAAAATGTTCACTTGCTGCCTTATATATCCCACCCACTGACAGGTGCCATGATAACCAGATAATCAGTGTTATTCACTTCACCTATCAGTGTTAATATATAATGTCATGGCTGATCAGTGTATATACAGAAACATGACTACAACTGAAAGCTAATGTTGCTCCATAAGTGGTAGATGTGTAAACAGGCAACCGTTTGCTAACATTCAGGCCTGGGAGGGTTACATTAAAAATGTAATGCGATACAATTACTAATTACTAGTTTAATTTAATCAGTAACCTAATCCAGGTATCACAATATTAAAGTAACATAACTTGATTATTACTTTTGTATTACCTCAAAATAAAGGCAAGAGAAATATCAATAAGATGACGTCTGTTCAGTGAAATGTAACCTTAGAAAAGAAAATGGCCACAACAAGACAACAAAACAAGATTTTTAGCATAAACAAAATGTCTTGTTTTTCATTGAACACATTCAGGCAGTAGCCTATAGACCATTTTTACAGCTTGAAGGCAGAACTACCACTGTAATGTGATGTTTCTGCTTTAAAGGTCCAGTGAGTAACATTTAGGAGGATCTACTGGCAGAAATGTAATATAATATTCATAGGTAGGTTTTCATTAATATATATAGTATTTGTTACCTTAGAATAAGCTGTTTTCATCTCCACAAGCTGGAGGTTGCCTTCCATTGTTGTTTCTACAGTAGCCCAGAACAAACAAACCAAACCCTGGCTCTAGATAGGGCCATTTGTGTTTTTTCCACAGTGACCGTAGTTTCTCCTTCATGCTTGAAAGGGGAGCATGAAGTGAGAGATTTGCAATCTGCAACTACTACTAACTAACTACTGCTAAATGCCACAAAATCCTACACACTGGACCTTTAAAGACAAAAATAATGGCAAACATTTTCACCCAGTGAAAGCATTTATTCTCTACAGGCCATGATAATGAAATTGTAATTGTAAGAGCTGTAGTTTCACTTGGGACCGGAGTGGTGTTGTGAGACTGTTGTAACTGCGCATGTGCATGGTAGTATATTGTTCTTTATTTTCAAATGTGGATGTTTAAACTTGTTTTCCTGCCAATAATCCCAAATTTTACTAAATGGAACTGTAATCTGATTACGTCTTTTTTTTCTGTGACAGTTAACTAATGGATTACAGTTAGCTTTGTTACAGCTGTGTGTGCTTCCCTGTTCTGACTGTCCCTTTTCCTGCTCTGCTACCGCTTGCTCTGTGCAGGTGTGCTGATTGCTAAATGAGGCGCACCTGACCTGTTAATGAGGAGTTTAAAAGCTCCTCTGCCAGCACCAGAAGAGAGTGGCTTTTGGAGTGAGGACTGCTGGTGCTCCTGCGTCCCAGCGTGGGATTTTGTGTCGCTTTGTGTCTTTTGATTGTCTTCATTTAGTTAATGAATTCTGTGAATTTGGTTCTTTCTTTCTGTAGTTGTTTTGGGACAGTGATGGGGTGCTGTTCACCCTGTAGGGCCGCCAAAGGGCGGAATGTAACAAGTTTGTTTTTGTATCCTGATTATGTAACTACATGTAAACCGTTACTCCACAATCCTGCTAATATGTTTGATATGGCAATGTAGAAGATGATGATAATATGTCAATGTTGTGTTTACAGCTCGCTCTGCTGCACCAGTGGACAAAAATGATGCAGCTTTGACATCCAGTTTTGTTTTATTTACATGTGAAAAACTATGATTTTGGTTCCCCTCAAATCATCTTATTCCACGCTCTTTGATACCATGATATACACAATATATTCTGTAGTGGCTTGTTCCAACTCTTCACGGAAGCTCTCCAACAGTTACACTAATTTATATTAAAACCTGAAACACACCATACCATCAAAACAAATATTCTAAATGTCTATTGCATACTTTTAGACCCATTTTATCAAAAGTCAACATATTAAACATATTTGGTGGCTCTGGAAGTTCCTCAGGTTTTAACAATGTTTGGCTGCAGTGCCTTAGTTTGTACTGACTGCCCCACCCTGGAGGGGTATTGCACAAAACCAGGATAAGGGATTAAGCTGGGATATGTTGGTTATCCTGGCTGAATTTAACCTCAAGTCGGTTGCATGAAAGCAGGTCAAACTTATCCCGGCCAAGTTACTATGGTGATTTATTCTCTGCAGCTAGCCTGCTCCAGACCAGGCTAAGATTAATCCTAGTGATTCACCTGTATTTCCATCGTCGATCCTTTGAGGAAGTGTTTTACAGCATGTCCATGGTCTTTCTAAGTATGTTGCATCATTTTAATTATCCTGCATTAAAATATGACATATATATTGTCATTTCTCATTTCATTTAAATCTGTTGGCTGTTTGTAATTGCAACAGTCTTTTTATATTGATTCAAGTGGTAGTATTATTACTCAGGCCAAGTGTTATATTGCTATATTAATGAAGACTGCTTGTCAAAATGCCATCAGAGGTTTTATAAATATGTGTTTTATTGCAGTAATTGAGATTACAAAACACAGCTGATGAAGTTGCAAAGGTGTTTTCAATGAAATCTGTGACAAGGGCAATATAGTATATATGTATATATATATATATATATATATATATATATATATATATACATATACTATTTTGCCCTATA